CGTTCGTCTTGGAAGTTCCAGATACTGGTTGATCTCACAGCATGATTTTCCCGATTACCACATTCCGATTGCACGCCAAACAAATTTACCATTTGCTAAGATCACCTGAACTCAAAAGAAAGAAGTTATGAGCTCTGGAATTTCAAACTACACATCTGTGTGATCTTCAGAACAAGCATGCATTCCGATGACGCGAGCTGTATCACATTAAAATTCAAGTTGGTTAAGCTCGATTGAAATTTTCAGAACGCTTTGTTTGAAGGCACAGAACTATTGGCTAAACAAATGAGGATCCCATTCTAACGTATCCTTTCATGCGTTCTGCTGGAAACTCCAGAAAACGAATAGTTCTTCGGTTGTCAAACAATACTTTTTGCACGTGTTCCATCACAGCCCGTCTTGAACCAATCTCCCCGTAGATAAACAAGTTCTTTTTGAATAAATGACCGTGCGAAGGTGAAGGTTCCTGTGGGGTTGAATCCAATTTTCGATCCCCGTCTCATCCGGGCTGGTTATGCCCTTGACTGTTGATCGAGTGAGCCTTACGTCGAGCTTTACTGGTGAGCTTTACCCGACTATAATTGCCCTCGATCGGTATGATAATAGAACCAATCACACCGATATGGATCAATGAATTGGTTGTCATGCGTTGGTATGAATTTGGACATGAATCGTTGCACGACCGGGGTCAGCCTGGGGCCTGAACAGCTGAATGGGAAAACTCCATTGTGGCTGAGTTTCCCTCGAATTACACTGCTGTTTTTGAACCAGTGCGGTTGTCTATATACTTTTGGCAGCGATGGACACAGTGGGTGAAATACTCAACAGTAGTACATACGAATTAGTAGTAGTACATATGAATTAGGAACTAGTGGTCTGCCACTTGGTTAAAAGTTTCGGGACCAAATGTTTTTCCTCCTTAATCTAATGTGTGCACTTTTGACTGGAATATGAGCCCTACGCTTACCCAATTTATAACTACAATTGCAATAATGTAGCGAGACTAAATTTGAACTCATTTACTAACTTCTGCATCCTATTTACAAAGCCACTGACCACAATCTAAAACCTACAGCTAACCCCTAATTATTCAGCTTCGTGGCATAAATTCTCATCCTCCTCTCAGTCTGATTTCATTTACTCTACTGTTGTGGTTCAGTGAGTGAGCTAACCATGGTCTTATGAACTTACGCATTCACACATGTCTCAGAATTTTACACCCATGCAAAGCTCTCTTTTAAAATCTGCACGCAACACTCCCCCCCCCCTACACAATACCCCCACTTTTCCACCGTTTTTCCCACCCGGAATGGTTCCACTGACGTGGGTTCATATTGTAGCTCGCCGCTATCCTCCTTGACATCCGTCTCGGGGCCGATCGTCCCATTCCTCCAACCTCACTCTGCGTTCAAACTGGCTTCATTCAACGTAAGAACGCTTATGCATATAGGACAACAAGCAAGTTTGACTCGTACATTCGAAAGTCTAGAAATTGATGTGTGCTGCCTCTCGGAAACACGCATCCAGGATCCGAGCTCAGTAATCCGATTAACGTCTCCTTCCAACCCAAAAGAAGCGTTTCAACTGCGCGTCCCCGGGGACCCTATCGCTTCAGCGTCTTGTCAAGCAGGCGTTGGTATTGCCTTAAGCGCCAAGGCCGAGATTGTTTATTTGGATTGGATCCCGATAGATGGCTGACTATGCGCAGTGAGACTCAGAAGCTCTATTAGGGTCAAAAAGCAGAAACCAAATAAACGATGCTTATTCGTGCTTTCTGCATACGCTCCCACAGACTGTAGTCCGGATACAGTCAATGACGTCTTCTGTCACAACCTACATGAGCTTCTCCAAGCACCTAAGACGGATATCGTGATCCTAGCCGGATACCTAAATGCACGCGTGGGTCGTCTGTCACCCGATCAGACCCACCTTGATGGCCGTCATTGCCTTGATAGCCGTCGTTCCGATAATGAGGATAGACTTCTTAGCATATGCTCAGAACACGGTCTGTTCCTCGTTAGCACGAACTTCAGACAGTCTAAGCGTCACCTCGCCACCTGGCGTAACCCCTCTTCGGCCCAGATATGGAGTCAGATTGACCATTTAGCTATTAGCTATAGACGGAGAGGATGTGCGAAAGACTGTCGTTCGTATTGGTCTACCTGCTTGGACTCCGACCACGCACTGATTTATGCCAAGTTGTTTGTGCGTTTTGGGGCCGCAAAAAGATGCGATGTAAACAGCTCGACGTCGTCAAGCTCTCTGACCCAGCCGTACTAGCCGATTACCAAAACAAGTGGTCCGCAAGGCCAACTACTACCCCACCAAGTAGAGCAGATCAACACTGCACAGTCATTCAAAATGCAATACACTCAGCCTGTTTACACAGTTGTGGCCTAACCCGCCGAGTTGTAAATCAATGGGTCACCTCCAACTCTCTCAGACTCCTCGACGCGCGTCGGCAAATCCCGGCAGACCGCGAGTGCAACGAACAGCGCCTCTCCCTGAAGCGTTAACTCGCAAAGAGTCTGAGAGACGACAGGGAGGCCTGGTGGACGCTACGTGCAAAGGAGATGGAATCAGCGGCTTGGTGTGGAAACACTCGGCAACTATTCCAGCTCATCCGTGCTACAGGCCCCAAAAGACAGTGCGTTAGTGAAACAATCTGCGAAGTAGACGGCACGTTAATAAACAGACTTCAACCAACCGACGATTGGAACGCTGGGCGGAGCACTTCACATCACAGTTCAACCATCCCTCCGCACTGGCTGCCCTAAACAGTTCTCTTGAGAGTGCACCCTGGTCACTATCCATGGTACCGGCCACAGAAACGGAGATCTGAAAGGAACTCCAAACCCTGAACTGCTACAAGGCAGCTGGATCAGATCTTTAAAGATGGTGGAGATGCTCTTGTAAGAGAATTTGAGAGACTGTTCTCGAAGATCTGGGAAACTGAAAGTATACCCCACTTATGGGGAGAATCGATTGTCACACCCATCTACAAGAAGGGTTGTCGCAACGCCTGTCCCAACCACAGGGGCATAAGTCTGATTCCAGTAGCGCCGAGGCTGCTAACGTCCGTTTTATTACGCAGGTTATGTCCATTCCGTGAGAAGCAAACCCGCGAGGAGCAGGCTGGGTTTCGTGCACGCCGTGGATGCATAGATCAAATCTGCACCCTCCGTCCGCTACTAGAACACCGCCATACGTACAGATGACTAACCATTGTCGTGTTTTTGACATCAGAGTGGCTTTCTACTCTATCGATTGCCCCGCACTATGAAACTGTTTGCGGAGATACGGAGTACCCGAGAAGTGTTTCACTCTTAAAAGCGCTCTAT